GGTATAAAAGAAGAAAAACTAATGACATGGCCACCTTGTTCACCTGATCTGAACCCCATTGAGAACCTGTGGTCCATCATCAAATGTGAGATTTACAAGGAGGGAAAACAGTACACCTCTCTGAACAGTGTCTGGGAGGCTGTGGTTGCTGCTGCACGCAATGTTGATGGTGAACAGATCAAAACACTGACAGAATCCATGGATGGCAGGCTTTTGAGTGTCCTTGCAAAGAAAGGTGGCTATATTGGTCGCTGATTTGTTTTTGTTTTGTTTTTGAATGTCAGAAATGTATATTTGTGAATGTGGAGATGTTATATTGGTTTCACTGGTAAAAATAAATAATTGAAATGGGTATATATTTGTTTTTTGTTAAGTTGCCTAATAATTATGCACAGTAATAGTCACCTGCACACACAGATATCCCCCTAAAATAGCTAAAACTAAAAACAAACTAAAAGCTACTTCCAAAAACATTCAGCTTTGATATTGAGTTTTTTGGGTTCATTGAGAACATGGTTGTTGTTCAATAATAAAATTATTCCTCAAAAATGCAACTTGCCTAATAATTCTGCACTCCCTGTACTCACTCAGTGTAAATCAATGTATAACTTTTATGAAATGTGTTTTTTCTGGATTTTTTTGTTGATATTATATCCCTTTCCATTAAAATGAACCTACCAGGTAAACTAGATACTGTTCATATGTTTGTAAGTGAGCGAACTTTCAAATTCAGTTTGAATTATTATTATTATTATTTTAAAAACCAGTTTGTTTCTAAATATAGCTCTGTTAGGAGTTTCTTTTAGTTTTATTTTAAGTTAAACTTTATTTATATAGTGCCAATTGATAACAATGGTCTCATAAAGGTGCTTTATATAGTAAGGTAAAGACTCTATAATAGTTAGAGAGAAATCCCCCAAATCAGACATTTGGCTGTGACCATAGTTCTCCTGTTTGTTCTTATTTTCTTACATTGATTATACAAACTCGTATCACCCATTAAAAGATTATAATTGGACCCTCACCTGTTTCTATCTCTCCTGGGCAGCTGGGAGTGTTGTGTTTGGATTCCCTTCCTTCCCTGCCTCCCTGCATTTTTGGAGGTATTTGATAACCTTTTGGACAATAATGGAGTCGTTCTCTTTTCTTACATGATCCCAATGCAAAGTGTGACTTGCTCAGAAGCAGAGGTTGCACCAAAGTTTTCAATGAACCCAAGAAGACATATGAGAGAGCCAAACAAAATAAGATGCACCTGCTCCAACTTTAATGTGGTTTCATCCAAATTATGCTTTTAGGTTTAAGGGTGTTTTACTTTAGCTAGAAGGCTGCGATCTCCCTGCTGAAGAGATTCTCATTACAGGTTTTTTTTTATTTATATCCAAGCACTCTTTATACACATCGCTGCCTCGGGCGGAAATTAAATAAATGTCACTGATACCACAGAGAAACATTAGTCTCTTGTGCTGCTGAAGCAGAGCAAGGAGCTTTAAATGTATCAGTTAGGGGCAAATTCGTTTTTAATCAGAGGTTTGCCCAACTTGTTCAAAGCTTGTTTAAGATAAGACAGAAAAAACTAAGATTATAACAAATGTGTTCACTGCTTTCTCAGTAGGTTAAGATAATAGTTCCTTAGGGTTTAAATGTTCTTTTTTTCCCTCACTAAATAAATAGCTCTTTATTCAGTTCAGGGCTGAGTAATTTTCCTTTGAAAATTTAAAATATTTTCCTGGAAAACAGATACAATATCATATATACAATAATCAATCACATTTAAAAACAAACTTTAATAACAGAGTTTCTTAATTTCAGTTTTACTCCAAAATTGTAAACTCCAAAATTATGATGTAGAAGTCAATTTAAAAAAAATTACATTACTAACTAACCCCACTTTAGACTTTATGGAATCTTGAAATTCCATGAGTTTAAATATTTTGGTCCAACTGTGTTAAAGTTACTACAAACTTAAATTAGATGTAAAAATAACTTTTCCAAAACGGATTTTAAAACTGAACGTGAAACAATTTTTTAAACTGCATTAAAATAAAAACAAAATTCACAAAGAAATATAGATCATCATCAACATCAATAAGCCCCACAAAGTTCGTGCAAAGTTAATTGTTTACATTTTGTAATGAAATATACTATGGGTTCCACATTTACCACTCAGAAAACGTTATATGACTACGAAAAGAGACAGTATTACTAGATGTCAAATTTGGATAATAAAGAAGAAAAATACTTGTAATATGTCAATCCTTCTTATACCTCAAAGTGTTCACATTTGTTTAATGGTATTGTGACTTTTTTAATGTTTCATGGCAGTAGATTGTCTCAATGAGGAAAAAATAGACATCCTGTTGCAATAATGTATATCATCTTTACTGCTGCACCGTGTACTTCCTGCTGTCATGCTTGTTTTTTTTACCCCTCGCTCTTCTCTGCAGGACGTAGTGTTACAGGGACACTGGAGTGGTTGCTAAGGTGCAGAAACTGCTCAGCAACTGCCTCCAGTGCTGACTAAACATTCTGATGTCACTTCCCTGACAATCGGCTTAGCAACCAGTTAGAGCACTGGGTAATGGCTTTGCACCAGCGTGCCTGATGTGTTGTCCATATGCCTTTGTCGTGACATACGGTCGGAGAAACACACACTCAAAAATGGACTCAAGTATGTGGTGTGCTTTAAAAAAATGTTTAACCAGTGAGATTGTTAGGCAGCTACATAGCTGATGATATGTGTTATTTCCCTAAGGTTCCTAACAGTAATGGCTCCTCTAAGAAAACATTAATTCTCTTGCCATGAAAAGGTGGTCCTGAAACCTGAAATCTTAAGCAAAGGCAAAGGTTAAACTGGATCATTTCTTCAGCAGGGAGAGAAAATATGAGTTTGCAGAAGGGTGAGCAAATATTCTCATTGTAAAAGGCATTCCATTTCAATTTGTGACTGGTACATACATCCCTTTGTTAACCTTTAAGCAACAAAGACATTGTCCCTATACAGCAACCTTTATCTCTGACAGATATTTTAAAAATATTTATATATAATGAATTGTGTTTTAAGTAATTTTATGTAAAAAGGAGATAAAGTGATTTCCTTCAACTGAACTGTTTTATGACAATTTAGAATGAAGTATCTGTTTCAAGGCTTCTGCAGCATGCTTACTACTTTAAGGCTGTTAACCATAACTTGACTGCAAAACATCAGATGCAGTGATTAAAAGTTGAAAATTGCAATAAAAATCTGAGACAAACAACCAATAGATTTTTCAGTTATCTGTGCCACAACAAAGGGCCAATTACTGTACAAAACTATAAAAAGCTGAAATAAAAATATGAAATAATAATATTTTTACAATTTTTACCTTTTTAGTTTCAAATAGTTGTACAGCACTTTGTTTGAAAGCGCTTTATAAATAAAGTTATTATTATTATTATTATTATTAATTTAAAACATCACTACAGCAGATATAAATATACAGCCGGAGTATAGTCCATCTTCAAACCACTGTAGTTTAACCATAACAAACCCAAAGCTGCTCAATTGATTCAAGTCATATATGAATCAAATGAGCTAAAAAAAAACACTTCACGACACACACACACATGCACACAGAGTAGACTATCTGTCCAAATATCTTTGGTCTATTTCTGTCCCCTGGCAGGTTATTTTAGGCCACTGCAGTTGCTAAGCAACCAGACTGCAAAACAGGCGGCAGAGGAGGATCCCATCAGCAGCAGACAGCTTGTCCTCTTTCTTTCGTCCCCATCTCCACATCCTCCTCTCTGTCTCGCTGTCCTTTTATTCCTGTGCTCGATTCCTAGATCTCCCTCTACATCTGCCTACTTCCTCTCTTTTACTCTGAATCTGCTCCTCACCCATTCATTGGATGATGAAGCCGTCAAAAGAAAGAGATCCACTTACGCTCAAACAGTGTTTCTGCAGATTACATTCTTACACATTCAGTTCATTCATATCAATATTTACACTTGCCTGCTGACACACTGATGTTCACAAATTCACACCACAATGGACTGAAATTTACAACAAAAAAGGTGGCCAATGTAAAATAATACATTACCAAGATTATTATTAAACTAAACCAGATGTGGTTAAACCCAAAGTTTTTAAATCACCACCAGCTGCTTTGCTGATCCTTCAGAGAGGAATAGGACCAACTGCAGAGCAAGACAGTGAAGCAGCCCACAGCATGAATGACTAACTGAGAGATACGGAGCTAGCCCCCTTAAAATGAAACTGAAAAAAAAATATATGGTAACTGAAATAAATGTACTGAAAAATCTTGTGCTGGAAGTGGGGAAAAAAATGATAGTGAAAAACAATTACAACTGTAACTGACATATAAGCTGTACATTGTATTTTTTGTTTTTGCTTATAGTTTATTTATTTTTTTTAGTTTCAATCCATTTTTTTCAGTTTCAATTTGCTGGCACTGTTTTGGTGTCTGGGTGCGCGCTTGAGGGGCAGGGATTCTGACCAGCATGCATTGTATACATCTGTTACGTTCCCCTGAGGGGTCTAGGCGGTGAGGGGGAAGTAACAAAAGGTGTCCAGGTCAGAAAAAGGAGTCAAGGAGGCAAAAGGGTTAAATTAAAGAGTTTTATTAAAGTAGCTCAACTAAGAGAGACGGACAAGCCGCTATCACCATTTAAGAAAAACAAACAAAACTCAGGCGTTGGTCAATAAAGCAAAGTCAAAAGGAAAGCGCAGCTCACTAGCTGGAAACCACAAACACAGCTCACTAGCTGCAATCACCACAAAACACAGACAGCTCACTAGCTGCAAACACCACAAAACACACACAGCTCACTAGCTGCAAACACCACAAAAAATGGCACTCTGGCCCAGAGCTCACCTTTCCCTGGGCTTAAATACTTTTAATTACTGATGTGAGTCAGCTGTGTAACAGGGAAAGGTGGCACCTCAGGCAGAAGAGGTGGTGGGACACGCCCACACAGGCACCTTCAGGAGGAGGCCCTGCTAGGGCCGTAACAACATCATAGAGACCACTAGTACTTGTTTCTTTCAATGGCTGCTTCAATTTCAGGTGGAGCCTCTAAACCGCAGGTAAGTCATCATTTTCCTTCATCTTTCCTTGCTATTCCACTGGACTGGACATAAGTTTAGTTTTCTTAGCTACATCTGGTGAAGTTGTGGTAAAATGCTAACATTAGCCTATTTGTTGTAGCAAGCTAGCCTGCAGTTAATATCTGCTAAATTTAGGGATACCGGTGTCTCTTTAGGAGTTGGAGGCCAGTGATGTAGTAGCGGCACAAGATCCCATCAACAGGTTAGCACAAAGTGTTCTGCACACCTCATACCGCAGTGCAGCAAAAGCAGCCTCATGAGCGCTGGGAAGGACAAGCCCAGACCCCAGGAGATGGCTAAGTTAGTAATTGCATGGGAAAATTATACTTTTAATTATTTTGATTTGTAAAAATTTTAAAAATTAAAAAAAAAATCTGCATTTCTGTTATCTATGTTTCTCACATATAGGTCATTTCCACAATTTTTTTAAACCAAAAAGTGTGTGTGTGTGTGTTTGTGTGTAATGTAGACACTAAAGTTGTCGTGCCAGAATTGGTTCTTTAGATACAAGGGGGGAGCGAGCGAGTCAGACACCAAGGGCACAAAGATGAAGCAGGTCTGATCAACAACAGTTTATTCCCCGAGGCGGACAGTAGAAATAAAACAACCAAAATACTAAGAAAAAAGTATACAATAAAATGTTCTCCATATGCTAAAATTCCCACGGAGACTAGATAAAACAATTCTAAAACCCATAAAAATATTTTTTTTTACATGCACTAAAATCCCCTGATGTAATTGTCCCGCAACCCCAGATGAATGTTCATTATGGGTCCACCAGCAGGCCAGAAATTTTTTCTCCAGAGCGGGGTCCACGCCAGCCTCGTCCCAGACAGACGAGAAGGAGTCTCCTGTCCCCCACCTGAGCCCATCACATCCCAGCCCAGCTCGCATTCTGCACTGGAGTCCGTCATGGCCTTCTTGTGTTCCTCTGCATGTCTGGAGCCTCTCTCTTATGCTCAGCTAGCCTGCTTTTAATAGGTCTTTAAACAGCTGAAAGGCCACCTCTGGATACACCCATACCTCAGCAGGTGATCCCTATCAGCTAATTGTTCCATGTCAGCCAATCCACAGTGGATTAAAAAAAAAAAAAGTCAAATAAAACACTAAAAACCATGCAATACAAACATTAGAATAAAATCATGAAATTAAAACTACACTCGCAAATAAACACTAAATTCAAAATTAAACCAATATAAAAGATAAATACAAAGTTCTACTGTGTGACATCTGTGTGTGCTTCAAAGCAATTACTATAGAAAAGATGTGTAATTTTTTCTTTTCATTTTTCAGAACTCCATCTTGGGCCCGCCTCAGAAGACGGATAAACCAAGCATTTCATGAACACTGTGATGGAGACCATTGCTTTGTGTATTGTTAGAAGTACTCAGATAATCCCAGAAGGCTCTAGACTTTTACCTAAAGATATTATATTCAGTCCTGAAGAAAGTTAAATATTTAAATATATATTATGCTCTCTCTGGTATTAATGACTCCGGATTACTTTATGGTAAATAACACACTATTGGCAAAAACAGTAAAAGAATTCCAGATCAGAAGCTTTTAGTTCAACATACATGATATATGGTGACACAGTTACATGGGTGATTAATCCTTTTGACTTTTTGTCTTTAACTTTATCTACAAACAGCTGCAGCTTTTACTGACAGCACATCATGTGGTACTATAACCGTTGTACTCTTTTGATCAGTTTTGGAGTTGCTACAAAGAATGAAGATATAGGATGATTTGTCTGTTGCCACTGGGTGATGCTGAGGTCTCAATCTAAGGGCAGCTTCTGTAATCACAAAGAGAACAGAATCATCACAAACTGAAAAAGTTTATCTCTAAAATCTGAAATAAAGCTGATCCTTCTCTGTTCTCACACACTCAGGATCCCAAGTTCTTCTCTTACATTTGTTTTTAAACATTTTTTTTTTTTACATTTTCTAAAAACAAATCCTAGGTTGCATCAGTGTGACCAGCCATTCGAGTAAAACAAAAAAAAAATTCTCAGCAAATCTGAAAGTCTCTGTGTGGCCAACAGAAGACAACATTATGCCCATATCATGGCCTAAACCAATCATGAAGGTACTGCTTAAGCTGGGCATACTGTGTGCGATTTTTTTCAGTTGTTTTATTCAGCTCCTGCTCAAACTGTGCGATTGAATCGCAGGAGTTAGAAGTTCATAGGTCATGATGCATGGTCTCACACTATACGGCCCAATGCTCTGATGCGACCTGCGTCCATAACATAAACCTGATAACACAAAATCTGTCTCTCGCTCTCCCTCTCTCTCCCTCTCAGTCTTTCAATTGCACAGACACACACACCACCATCAACTTTGCTAAATTGCTAATGTAAAAACATTGACCAGGCAGCTGCAATTGAGCAGCAATGTCCATCCAACTGTTTTCATGGTTGTTGTGGTCGTGATAATTTTATGAGGTCACATCGAAAAGCCTCGGATGAGCTTGCCAAAGTTATACAAGCTGGGCATCCATCACTTGTGCCCAGATCACACCCTGCACTGCGGAGCTATTCTGACTTTTTCACTTCCATTTCTGTGTTTGCGCGTGCACAGTGTGAGAGGTTGTGTTGATACTCTCACAAGGGGTGACAGGATTTCAAACAGGTTTGACTTTCTTGCAACCATAAGATTGATGATCGGGAGCTGGTCGTGCAAAAAGGGGAATAATAATCCAATAGCGCACAGCGACATCTGCACATTCCGCCAATGTGCTAATGTTCTGCCAAATCCTAGGTCGCACCGGTCGAACTCTGAAAGTCTCTGTGTGGTCAACAACAGACACACATTATGCCCAGACACACATTATGGTCTAAACCAATCAGAGATAGTCAAGGGCGTAGCCTCTCAGATGCCCATGCCCAAGGTAAGATGTTCAGATACTAAGATGTTAAGTTCGAAGCCTTTGAGGCACTTGTAATTTTGACTTTCTTTTTATTTTATATATCTTGAGATATTTTAATTTTAAATTTCAGCTCAGTGAAGCACTTTAAGCACAAGAACTTTTTTAGAAATGTATTTTTCGGACTATAAGGTGCACTTAAAATCCTTAAATTTTCTCAAAAGTGTGCTCTATGTATGAATTCTGGTTGTGCTTACTGACCGCGAATTGATTTTATGTGGTACATGGCTCTCAAAAATCTGCCAAAATGTTTTGATGGATTGTTGGAGCATTACGGCTACCATAGTCAGGAGCTTCACAGAGTAATACGTTCCATGCTTCAACATAATATTACCGTATTGTGTGTCTATATGGGTTCACGAGTGACGGGAGAAGGGACCCGAAGATCGACAGACGGATTGGTGCTGGGGCTGCAGTGATGTGGACGCTGTACCAGCCCGTTGTGGTGAAGAGAGAGCTGAGTGTAAAAACAACGCTCAATTTACTGGTTAATCTCCCTCACCTATAGTCATGAGCTGTGGGTGGTGACCGAAAGAACGAGATCATGGATACAAGCGGCGGAAATGAGCTTCCTCTGAAGGGTGGCTGGACTCTCCCTGAGAGACAGGGTGAGAAGTTCAGCCATCCGGGAGGGGCTCAGAGTAGAGCCACTGCTCTTCCACATCGAAAGGAGCCAGTTGAGGTTGTTGAGGCATCTGACAAGGATGCCTCATGGCCGCCTCCTGGGTGAGGTGTTCCAGGCATTTTTCACTGGGAGGAGGCCCCAGGGCAGACCCAGGACACGCTGGAGAGATATCTCTTGGCTGGCCTGGGAACGCCTTGGTGTTCCCCTGGACAAGCTGAAGGAGGTGGCTGGGGAGAGGGAGGTCTGAGCTTCTGTGCTTAGGCTGCTGCCCCCACAACCTGGCCCTGGATAAGCGGACAAAGATCGATGGATGGATAGATGGATGGACGGATATTTAATCCGTAGTTACTGAGGGGTTGCTGAAGTGCCAGCTTTTTTAAAGTTGGTGTTACTGTCCTTACAGATGTGGCAAGAAAACAGAAAACATGCTGCTGTTTGCACATATTTAATAATCAGCTCTGCACAGGAGCTGAAGCAGAGTCCAGCCTGATCCTCTTACAGTATAATACTCGTAATAATAATACAGTAACGGCAGTTAGTGACTGAGCAGCCGGGTGCTTTAATCTTGATTTCTTTAGTCAAATCACCTGCACAGATCAGCTAAATGAACTTTACAAAACAAGTTTTCCCAACAGCCAAGTGCTCATCTTAGCTAGCTAGCTAGCTAAGGACATTAGTTATAGATTAGCTTACAAACACATTTAACTTACCGAAAATCTGGTCCTTCTGTTGGGTAGTCCAGTTTACTGAAGAACACATCAGGCTGTCAGTTTGAAACAGTCGGTAACGTAAACGTTGAACCTCTCAGCATCTGCCATTCCAGAACAGCCACACATACAAGTTTGTCCGTGACTGCAGCCGCTAAGTCGTTATTATTTTCTACAGTCATTGGTCAGCACTATAATGTATACAAATACATTTGGGTCAGAATCGCCGCCCCTCAAGCATGCCCCTGGACGCCAAAACAGTGCCAGCAAATTGAAACTGAAATAAAAGGATTGAGACTGACAAAAATGGATTGAAACTAAAAAAAAAAAATGTAAGCGAAAACAAAAAATGTAAAGTTTCAATTAATCATTTTTTACTATCAATTTTTTTTACTTTCAATACAAGATTTTTCAGTATATTTATTGCAGTTACAATATTTCTTTTTAGTTTCATTTTAAGGTGGCATCGTTCTAACCCCGTAGTGAGACAGCTGATTACTGCCCATTATTTATTATCACAAAAAAAGAAAACTTAAGTGCCCATTGACCTCACTAGTGTTGGCTGAACAAACACAATTTTTTTTAGGTAACGCAGTTCTTTATTCAGTAATCACATTACAGTTCGCAATCAGTTATGTTGTTAACTTGTGTTACTCTGCGCTTGAGTCTCCGCTACCGCTTCTGACAGAATCATCCAGCCACAAAATGGACTCAGCAGATTCAGCGGCCTCGACCCCCACTCTCGCCACATTGGTGGCAATGCTGGAGCGTAATGAGCAGATGTTTACCAATATTCGAGGTGAGCTTGCAAACCTCACACAGGCTGTAGCCCAGCGAACACCTCTGGCGGTAAATCCACCCGCCACTGCACCCCCGCAGGAGACAGCAGCTCCAACCGTAAGTGCCACAGCACCAGCTCCTACACCTGTTCTATTAGACAGATTCCTACCTACACCTAGAGCTTTTTCTGGAGAACTTGGCAAATGTGCTGGCTTCCTCACTCAATGTTCTTTCCAGTTTCGTCAGCAGCCACAAGTTTTTTCTAATGATGGTGCTAAAATTACTCCAGGATCGCGCACTGACTCAAAAATGAACTGATGCTTCGTGATCGAGTGCATGATCGAGTACGTGCGCACCGGAGTTCACATGCACGCTTGGGTTGAATCCATATCAGAAGACCACAAATCAAAACAAACACACTGTGTTGGAAGCAGGACTGCCAGAACTATGCTTAAAATCAGCGCAAAAGACAAAGGGCTGTATCGCGATCGATTGCGCCCAGACGCCAAGAGACGGTACTTGGAAAAAATAGTGTGCATCGGTAATGTGGACCCGTATGAAAAAAGGCAGTGGAGTGGAAAACCAGACAGCCTACCGCCGTTGTCCTATCCCGATATCTTCGTGTACCTTGTCTGTGGAGTCAGCGCATACACAGCGAATCATTTTCGGAATTATAAATTCCTGGAGGCGCACATCTAATTCACAAACGGTTGGGTACAAGATTTGGCCGTTTTTAAACCTCCACGTTGTGAGTACGTTGACCATATGACCAAGATACAGCCAGAGGCTGCCAGCTGTGCGTTGCCATGTAAATAGTTTGCTTTTCATGTATATGTACTTGCTAAGTACATGTGAACAGATCTGGAATAAAAAAAAATAAACATACTTTTCTTTCCTGTTTCATATTTCATATGCTGGTTTGCCTGCAATAATGCCAAATAATAAGCTTCTCCGTCAACATGACGTGGTTCTGCAGCATCACACATTAGGATGCTTTATCTAATTATCTATGACCTCAGCGCATTCAAAATAACACTAAAAGCCTATTAAGAGAGATATGAATTTATTTAGAACTCACCAGAAAGAAAATGCGCACAAACCAACAAAAAATTGGGGATGGCAGAGAACTCAATATCCGCTCATCTCACCGCTGCAATCCAAGCCTGACGTCTTCGTTTAGTAATATCGGATACATGAAATCCCTCACGTTGCCTCCAGGAGGGGAAACGATGAAAAGAGAGCCCATTTTCCAGCTTCTTGCCTTCCCTATCGTGTGATCTAATGTTGCAACTGACAACACAGCACGTACGAACCATAGCTGACGCTTCCGTGTGCTTTCTTTGGCCTACTGTCATGGCGGGAGGTGGCATCACGCTCCAAAGCCCTATTCTCTCTCTGTTCTCATCGACTCTGGAGTGGAGTCGAATTTCACTGACAGCTCGCTCGCCGCTAGAAACACTGCCAAACCCTCTCCGTGTTCATGCACTGTCAGGTCAGCGTCTACCCGGCATTACCCATGTTTCAGAGCCTCTCTCTCTCTCTCTTTTGGGTAATCACACAGAGAGAATTTGTTTTTTGCATTCAAGGCACCGCTCACCCTGCTAGTATTAGGCCACTCCTGGCTTGTGCTCCACAACCCACACATTGACAAAAAGGGTAAGAATTCGTTCGGCCAGACGTCTCAACTCCCGGCAGGCTAGGTGGGCTTTGTTCTTTACCTGCTTTGATTTTACTATCACCTACAGGCCAG